AAGACGAACCTCAGTAAAAACAGCTGCTTAGCATCTGCAAGCTCTGGGTTTGATTCCCAGAACAACAAATAAAGCAAAATAATGTTGCAGGGCTAGGGTATACAGCTCAGTGTAGAACTGGCCTCCAACCCCAGCACCACACACACAGCAAAAAAAGACACAAGACAAAACAAAAACAAAAGCCAACCAAATAAACAAAGTTATAAGGTAGGCATGGTATAGCTATCCACGTCTGTGATCCGGCACTTGGGAGGCTGAGGTATTGAAACTCAATTCAAGCCCAGACTGGACTACATGTTGAGTTCCAAGTCAGCCCCTGCCTCAAAGGCTTTGTTTCAAGCAGGTTTAAAAAAAAAAAGAAAAAAAAGAAAAAAAATTGCCTATACTCTCAACTGGGTAGTAAGGCCTAACTCAGCCTAACTTAAAACATCCAAAGTAGAAGATGAGGGCCAAAGAGAAGCTTTAGTGGGTAAAGGTGCTGCAGATTTGTTCCATGCTCAGGACCGACCAAGAGGGTGAAAAGAGAGAACTTTCTCCACAGAGGTCCTCTGACCCCTGCATGAGTGCCTTTGCATCTCCATGCCCCACACCGAAGTCCTGACCCTTGCATGAGTGCCTTTGCACGAGCATGCCCCACACCGCGGTCCTCTGACCTCTGCATGAGTGTTTTGGCATCTCCCTGCCCCACACCGCGGTCCTCTGTGTGTTTGGTGTCTGCATGCCCCACACCGCGGTCCTCTGTGTGTGCTTTGGCATCTGCATGCCCCCCTCCATGCATAAATGCAGTAAAAACTTACTAAGTAAAAGGTGAGAACTAGGGATTGCATCCTCAACCTGCTCTGTCAATTCTCACTTTTAAAGCACACCACCCCCGACCTTTCACGATTTTATTTCATCCCTCCCCCTCACCTCTTTTTGCTACAGAAGTGTGTAGACTAAGTGAACCCCTCACCCCCTCTTCTGAAGTCATTCTTACATCGGATGCATCACCACCACCCTGTTAGGTGCCCGACCTCTGAAACCTCAGGCCCAAACCTCAAACACCGGGGCTTTTTTTTTGGACAAGCCTCTCCCCCACCTCCGTGAGAATTTCTCTCAGGACCTTAGTCTCAGAGGGTTGTGTGTTTGCTCTGACTCATTTCATTTTCCTCACACAAACGGATCATACTGCAATGTTCCCTCCATCCTCCAGGCCCCTGTCAGGATAAAATGTCACTCTTCTGTGGCCAAAACTGTGAGAGACAGACGCAGCAGCTCCTGACCTCCAGACCTCCAAATACAACAGTCACACAGACGTGGCAAGTTATACTGACTTTATTTTCAAATAACAGTAGAAATTGACCTGAGTTCAGTATGAATATGTAAAAAACAAGGTGAACAAAGGATGGCAGTATAAATCAACTCCAAGTTTACCCACTGGAAGGAAATACAGCTCAACAGTTCAACAACAAAACTTCAAACACTAAAGTATAAACACAAGGAGAAGCAGTCCAGAGCCTCCCCGCTTCATAGACAAACGTGGCCCATGGAAGGCACCAACTTTAGGGTACCTCAATAGTGTGGCTAAGGGCCGAGTCCAAAGACTAAAGAACCCTAAAAATATACTTAACATATTTCTTTCTTTTTGGTATTTTAGGGAAGGTCCCTCTACATAGCCATCTTGAAACTCACTATATAGACCAGGCTGGCCTTGAACCAAGAGATTAAGGTGTTCACCTATGGCTGGCAACATATTTCTTTCTAAAATTGCACACACAAAAAACTTCTTTGGCTTTCTCTTATTGCAAGCTAAATATCAGATAAACACACTATTACGTTATAAAGACATTTGCCAACTTGGTAGTCTGGCAAAACAAATCATACAGTGTGGCAGTGTTGTATTGAAGGCAGGAAAAAAACCACCCTCAGGGTAACTAATGTATTAACTTACAGGAAATATAAAGAACGTGAGTTATTCCACAAAGTATATAAAATTTCCCTAGGACTAGCACGTAAGTGCAGAATGAACTCAGGAGCTAGGGACCAACCCTGACAGTACCCAGCACAAGGGCAGTCCTCAAGGGCCACCAGCCCATGTCCTAGATGACCCGGGGAGGGCAAGGAAGGGCCTCTAATCCACCTCCTCGATGGTGGGCCCTGACCCAGAGCCCCCCTTGGGCGCCTGGGCCCCGAAGCCCCCAGCCCCGGGAGCACCCGCACCCTGCTGGTACAGCCCGCTGATGATGGGGCTGCACACCTTCTCCAGCTCCTCCCGCTTGTGCACGAACTCCTCCTTCTCGGCCAGCGTGTTGGCGTCCAGCCAGGAGATGACCTCCTGGCACTTGTCCAGCACCTTCTTCTTGTCGGCCTCGCTGATCTTGCCCTTGAGGCCCTCGTCCTCCACGGCGCTCTTCATGTTGAAGGCGTAGGACTCGAGCGCGTTCTTGGCCGCCACCCTCTCGCGCTGCACCTCGTCCTCGGCCTTGTACCTCTCGGCCTCCTGCACCATGCGCTCGATCTCCTCCTTGCTCAGCCGGCCCTTGTCGTTGGTGATGGTGATCTTGTTGGCCTTGCCCGTGCTCTTGTCGGTGGCCGTGACGTTCAGGATGCCGTTGGCGTCGATGTCGAAGGTCACCTCGATCTGGGGCACGCCCCTGGGCGCCGGCGGGATGCCGCTGAGCTCGAAGCGCCCCAGCAGGTTGTTGTCCCGCGTCATGGCCCTCTCGCCCTCGTACACCTGGATCAGCACCCCGGGCTGGTTGTCCGAGTAGGTGGTGAAGGTCTGCGTCTGCTTGGTGGGGATGGTGGAGTTGCGCTTGATGAGCGCCGTCATCACGCCGCCCGCCGTCTCCAGGCCCAGCGACAGCGGCGCCACGTCCAGCAGCAGCAGGTCCTGCACGTTCTCGGACTTGTCCCCCATCAGGATGGCCGCCTGCACCGCCGCCCCGTAGGCCACCGCCTCGTCCGGGTTGATGCTCTTGTTGAGGTCGCGCCCGTTGAAGAAGTCCTGCAGCAGCTTCTGCACCTTGGGGATGCGCGTGGAGCCGCCCACCAGCACCAGGTCGTGGATCTGCGCCTTGTCCAGCTTGGCGTCGCGCAGCGCCTTCTCCACGGGCTCCAGCGTGCCGCGGAACAGGTCCGAGCACAGCTCCTCGAACCGCGCCCGCGTGATGGACGTGTAGAAGTCGATGCCCTCGAACAGGGAGTCGATCTCCAGGCTGGCCTGCGTGCTGGACGACAGGGTCCTCTTGGCCCGCTCGCAGGCCGTGCGCAGGCGCCGCACGGCGCGCTTGTTCTGGCTGATGTCCTTCTTGTGCTTCCTCTTGAACTCCTCCACGAAGTGGCTCACCAGCCGGTTGTCGAAGTCCTCCCCGCCCAGGTGCGTGTCGCCCGCCGTGGCCTTCACCTCGAAGATGCCGTCGTCGATCGTCAGGATGGACACGTCGAACGTGCCGCCGCCCAGGTCGAAGATGAGCACGTTGCGCTCCCCCTTGCCGGACCGGTCCAGGCCGTAGGCGATGGCGGCCGCCGTGGGCTCGTTGATGATGCGCAGCACGTTCAGACCCGCGATCACGCCCGCGTCCTTGGTGGCCTGCCGCTGCGAGTCGTTGAAGTAGGCGGGCACCGTGATCACCGCGTTGGTCACCGGGTGGCCCAGGTACGCCTCGGCGATCTCCTTCATCTTCGTCAGCACCATGGACGAGATCTCCTCGGGGTAGAAGGCCCGCGTCTCGCCCTTGTAGCTCACCTGCACCTTGGGCTTGTCGCCGTCGCCCACCACCTGGAAGGGCCAGTGCTTCATGTCCGACTGCACCACCGCGTCGCCGAACTTGCGGCCGATCAGCCGCTTCGCGTCGAACACGGTGTTCTGCGGGTTCAGCGCCACCTGGTTCTTGGCCGCGTCCCCGATGAGCCGCTCCGTGTCGGTGAAGGCCACGTAGCTGGGGGTCGTGCGGTTGCCCTGGTCGTTGGCGATGATCTCCACCTTGCCGTGCTGGAACACGCCCACGCACGAGTAGGTGGTGCCCAGGTCGATGCCGATCGCCGTGCTCTTGGCCATGGCGCCGCTGGCTCTCCGCTGCCGGGGTTCGGCGCTCTGCGTCGGGGAGGCTCCGGGGGAGGCTGGTCCTGGCCGCGGGTCGGGATCTGGCCGCGGGTCGGGATCTGGCCGCGGGTCGGGATGTGGCCGCGGGTCGGGACTGAGCAGCTCCGCGTCTCTCCGCTCCGACGGGAACCCGAGACTCCTGGCTGGGAGCGCAGTCGGCGTCTGGAGCTCTGCGCACCGCCCCGCGCCTTTATGGAGCGCCCTCCGGCCCCGCCCGCCCTCCCCCGGGCCAATCGGCGAGCCGGAGGCGGCCGTGGGGACCGGAATCTTCCAGCAGCTTCTGGTCTAGTGGGCCTTCCCCGCCTCCTTTGAGTCACCAGTGTGGAGGGAGCCGCCCCGGTCCAGAACTCTCCAGACAGTCCTGAGTTCGGCTGGAGAAGCGGGGTTCCTGGGGGGCGGGGAGGGTGGCGGGGCGAGCTGTCCCCACTGTTTCCATGGCGACGCATTACGGCGGCCTCCGTGGAGCTGACTGTAAAGGTCACCGCCAGCTCGGTGCTGTGGACAGTTGGTCGTGATCTGGGGGGTTCCGCTGGCTGCCGCAGTGCTGACTTTGGGGGTCGAGCTGCGGCTGTAACTCCCCCTCCTCCGCTTGGGTGACCTGGGGAGAGGCCCAGGGGCGTGTCTGGTGACGTGGTCCCCTCTGGTCGCGTTACAATGGCCGTGCTGGCTCTGACCTCACCGACTAATTTAGGAATCCCAGGCCCCTTCCCAGAACAGGCTCAAAGTTGCCGGGAGGGGCGGGGTGGGGGGTGGGGGGACCCCGGCTGCGCGTTTGGATGATCCTGGAGCTCCCCGCTCGTAGGGGCTCAGCGACCTCAAGTTTTCCAAACTGGAGCGAAGGCGGAGAGAAGCCAGGTGAGCCGTGAAGGCTCTGGTTGGAGTGGGGCAGACGGCTGTGTCCCCGTTGGTTCTTATTTGAAAAGGGCCGAGACACTTCTTAGGTTTGATGAATTTACAGACAAGGTCTGGTGGAACCCGCCGCTCTGGTCTCTTGAGTGTTGGGATCACTAGTGTGGCCTCCCCACGCAGACCCCAGTTGTTTTACCTCTGGGGTGGGGGTTGGAACCAGGAAGAGTGTCTCTTGAGCGACAGGGGTGGCTGGAATGAGCCTGAGCTCGGAATAGGGAGCTTAAGACCTTTTTGAAGGTTATTGGCACCAGAAGACAGGAGTTATACTCAAGAGGATAGAAACTCGGTGTAGCGATGCATGCCTGTGATCCCAGCACTCCAGATGTTGAGAAAGGGCGGCTACGGGGGTGGAATTTTGTCTTAAACATACACAGAAAATCTCCCTGTTGTGCCCAACTTCTCAGAAAAGTTGACTGAGGCTGAAGCCTCTAATCCCAACTCTTAGGAATGGAGGCAGGGGCATTGTCTGAGCTACATAGAGAGATGCCGGCCTTTAAAAAAAATACCCACAGACATTCCACTCATGGTGGAAAGCCCAGAAGTGGTTAATGTAATCCCCACTCCCAGCTACTCTGGAGGCTGAGGAGAGGGCCTGCAGGCACCACCTAGCAGAAAAAGCATGAGGAGACCCATTTTGAAAAGAGTCCCTGTTATAATGAGTATTTCAAAATGAATGTAGGTGAAGGTTCATTATTGACATAAATTTAAGCCTTTAGTGAAGCCTACTGGGGCAAGGTTCAGCCTAAGCAGGGAGCCAGCTTGGTGGTGGAGAGTGGCCTGTGTGTGCCTCCCGGATCACGTTGCTGTTGACCAGCCTGTCCTGCTCTATGACATCTGGTAGACAAGAAACGCAGAAGCCAGAGAAACAGACACGTGGGAGCCTTGGGGTCTGTGCTCTGAGACACTACTACAGGGGAAACAGCCACTCTGGGGCGCAGCTCCGTGACACAGTCCTTGCTTAGCATCTCCAAGGCCCTGGGTTCCACCCCTGGCACACGAAGAGACAAACCCAGAGCCCATCCCAAAGATAATTTCAAAGAATAAAGACAGTGGAAGGTGGGTGGAGTAGGCATTTTGACAATGTTTATTTGATATTTTTCAGAGTGGCAAACTCGTATAATGTATAAACTATAAGCACCAGACACCTTTAAAGCTGAGGCCGAGCACCTTTCTCTCCTGGTTTCCCATTTCTTACAAGAGGGGGAAACTAGGAATTGTAGGACATCTGAGATAGCTCAGACACTAGTAAAGAAAACAGCCTACTGAAGTGACTCATGCTGTCACCCCAGCATTTGGGAAGCTGAGGGAGGAGAACAGCTGCCGTGTTTGAAGCCAGCCTGGGATGCACGGTGAGTTCCAGGCCAACCTCCTGGGCCACAGAGTGAGACACTGCCTTAAAACATTAAATAGCAACCCAAAATGACCTCCGTAGGCTAGGGAGGTAAGCTCAGTGGGCGAATGTTTTTGCATGCAAGCATGCGGACCTGCGTTCAGGCCCCAGAGCCCACGTAACAGAACAGCAAACCGAGTGGTGGCCTGCGCCTGTGATCACACAGCAAGGGAGATGCTTCACTGGGCTCTCCGGCCAGCACAGCCTAACGGGCCAGCGTTTGAGGACAACGAGAGAGGTCCTGTTTCAACACGGTGACTGGCAGATGAACGACACCCAGGGCTGGCCCTGAATCCACATGTCCATGCATACACACCCCACACCCGAACAGCAAACAGAAAAACACAAGCTCTCAGTGTAGGATTCATTCTGTGCAGAGGAGGCCGGTGAGCCTGGGGTATCTTATCTTTGTTGTTGTTTTTTTTTTTTTCGAGACAGGGTTTCTCTGTGTGGGATATCATTATCTTCATGCTTGTGGTTTTAAAAAGACAGAGTGATGGACCTGGAGAGCTGGCTCAGCAGTTAAGAGCACTTACTGCTCTTGTAGAAGACCCAGGTTCAAAACCCAGCACCCACACGGTGGCTCACAACTGTAACACCAGTCTCAGGGGATCTGATGCCCTTTCCTGACCTCCTTGGGGACATACACACATGAAGACAAAATGTTCATACAAAATATTTTTTTAAGACTTATTCATTTATTATGTATACAGTGTTCTTCCTGCATGTACTCCTGCAGGCTAGAAGAGGGCACCAGATCTCATTACAGATGGTTGTGAGCCACCATGTGGTTGCTGGGAATTGAACTCAGGACCTCTGGAAGAGCAGCCAGTGCTCTTAACCTCTGAGCCATCTCTCCAACCCCCACAAAATAATTTTTAAAAATTAAAAAAAAAAACTGACTGAGGGCTCAGAGGGCTCAGCCATTAAGAGCACATCTCTCCTTGTTGAAGACCTGAGTTTAGTGCCTAGCACTTACCCACATTGGGCAGTTCCCAACTGTGTGTAACTGACTCCAAGGGCCTCCCCTACCTCTGACCTCCACAGGCACCTGCGTTCATGTGCATATGCCCACACAGACATACATGCATACACACAATTAGAAATAATAAGTCTTGAAAGTTACTAACTGATCAATAACTAGCTTAAGTTTTATTTAAAAGAATTATTCCCCTAAATATGATTATAAAGTCTCATTTCTCCACAGGCCTCGGAAAACCATGGCTGCTAATAAAGGAATGGCCATAGGCATCGACCTGGGCACCACCTACTCGTGTGTGGGCGTGTTCCAGCATGGCAAGGTGGAGATCATCGCCAACGACCAGGGCAACCGCACGACCCCCAGCTACGTGGCCTTCACCGACACCGAGCGGCTCATCGGAGATGCGGCCAAGAACCAGGTGGCCATGAACCCCCAGAACACTGTTTTTGATGCCAAACGTCTAATTGGCAGGAAGTTTAACGATCCGGTGGTGCAGTCGGACATGAAGCTTTGGCCATTTCAAGTCATTAACGAAGGGGGCAAGCCCAAGGTGCTGGTGTCCTACAAAGGTGAGAAGAAAGCCTTCTACCCCGAAGAGATCTCGTCCATGGTGCTGACCAAGATGAAGGAGACTGCAGAGGCTTTTTTGGGCCACAGTGTCACCAATGCTGTGATCACGGTGCCGGCCTATTTCAATGACTCTCAACGCCAGGCCACCAAAGATGCAGGTGTCATCGCAGGACTCAATGTGCTGAGAATCATCAATGAGCCCACAGCAGCTGCCATTGCCTATGGCTTGGATAAAGGAAGTCATGGAGAGCGACACGTGCTCATCTTCGACCTGGGCGGCGGCACGTTCGACGTGTCCATCCTGACGATCGACGACGGCATCTTCGAGGTGAAGGCCACGGCGGGCGACACGCACCTGGGCGGGGAGGACTTCGACAACCGGCTGGTGAGCCACTTCGTGGAGGAGTTCAAGAGGAAGCACAAGAAGGACATCAGCCAGAACAAGCGCGCCGTGCGGCGCCTGCGCACGGCCTGCGAGCGGGCCAAGAGGACCCTGTCGTCCAGCACGCAGGCCAACCTGGAGATTGACTCTCTGTTCGAGGGCATCGACTTCTACACGTCCATCACCAGAGCACGGTTTGAAGAGTTGTGTGCAGACCTATTTAGAGGCACCCTGGAGCCCGTGGAGAAGTCTCTCCGGGACGCCAAGATGGACAAGGCTAAAATCCATGACATTGTTCTGGTGGGCGGCTCCACGCGCATCCCCAAGGTGCAGAAACTGCTGCAGGACTATTTTAATGGACGGGATCTCAACAAGAGCATCAATCCCGATGAGGCGGTGGCCTACGGGGCGGCGGTCCAGGCAGCTATTTTAATGGGTGACAAGTCTGAAAAAGTACAAGATTTGCTTTTGTTGGACGTAGCTCCCCTGTCTCTAGGATTGGAGACGGCGGGCGGCGTGATGACTGTTCTGATCAAGCGCAACTCCACCATCCCCACCAAGCAGACGCAGATCTTCACCACCTACTCGGACAACCAGCCCGGGGTGCTGATCCAGGTGTACGAGGGCGAGAGGGCCATGACGCGCGACAACAACCTGTTGGGGCGATTTGACCTGACTGGAATACCCCCTGCACCTAGGGGTGTGCCCCAGATCGAGGTGACCTTTGACATTGATGCTAATGGAATTCTCAACGTCACAGCCATGGACAAGAGCACGGGCAAGGCCAACAAGATCACCATCACCAACGACAAGGGCCGGCTGAGCAAGGAGGAGATCGAGCGCATGGTGCAGGAGGCCGAGAGGTACAAGGCCGAGGACGAGGGCCAGAGGGAGAAAATTGCTGCCAAAAACGCCTTAGAATCCTACGCTTTTAACATGAAGAGCGCCGTGAGCGATGAAGGTCTGAAGGACAAGATCAGCGAGTCTGATAAAAAGAAAATACTGGATAAATGTAATGAGGTCCTCTCCTGGCTGGAGGCCAACCAACTGGCTGAGAAAGATGAGTTTGACCATAAGAGAAAAGAGCTGGAGAACATGTGCAACCCCGTCATCACGAAGCTCTACCAGGGAGGGTGCACCGGCCCCACCTGCGCACCGGGGTACACACCCAACAGGGCTGCCACAGGCCCTACCATCGAGGAAGTGGATTAGCCTTTTCTGGAACCACAGGGTGCTAGGGAGCCTCTAGGTGAATCTTATTCACCTTCAAACATCACTCTGACTCTGGAACTGACTGGACTTGAGCCTACGTCGCCATCCTTTGGGACTCTGATGGGGAAGTCTGTACTCCATCTTCTCATGCCCCCACCCTCTGTCTATGACTCTGAAATGACCTTTAGGAAAACCAGGCCCCTCTTGGAACCATTTGAAGAATTTGGATGTCTGTTATTTATGAGCCACACCCCACCTTTCTCCTTCCTGTGTGGATGGTTATTTGTCTCTCAGTAAAGTTGTTCCCAAAGGAAATGACTCCCGATGTCTTTTGATGTATTATTTAGTCATGGCCTTACTGTGTGTGTCTAGCTTACTTGACCCGATGTAGGCCAATTTGTCCCCTCACTTGCAGCAATCCTCCTGCCTCTGCCACCTGTGTTCTGAGATTACAGGCATGCACCGCCATGCCCAGCTTTGTTTATTGGAAGCAGGGTTTCTAGGTTAGCCTCAAACACTCTATATCTAAAAGTGACCTGCCCCCCTCAACCAGCTTACTTCCTGGCATCTTTAAGCTGTCAAATGTTCCTTGTAAAGTAATAGAGGGGAGCTCACAGCTGGGCGGTGGTGGCGCACGCCTTTAGTCCCAGCACTCAGGAGGCAGAGCCAGGCGGATCTCTGTGAGTTCGAGGCCAGCCTGGGCTACAGATCGAGTTCTAGGGTAGGCTGCAAAGCTACACAGAGAAACCCTGTCTCGAAAAAACCAAAAAAAGAAAGAGAGGGGAGCTCACACAGGACATGAATTTTCTGTTTGTGAGTTCATTGTGAACGATTAGCCTGCTAAGGGCAAAGTTCTTGGATTTGTGCAAGTTCAGTGTCTCCAACAAAATTATTTTGTTTTGTTTTTGTTTTTGTTTTTGAGACAGGGTCTTATATAGCCTAGGTCTGCTATGAACTCCTGTTCATGCTGCCTCCACTTGCATGGTGACTGGAATTACAGAACATTACACCTGCCAAGAAAATATTTTCTAATTCTCAGACACCCTGGGCCCATATGAGGAACTTGTGTTAGCCACAGTTATGTGGCTGCCGCTTCTAATCAATGACAGGTTGGTTTAGGTTCAAGTGTTAAGGATTCTGCTGAACCTGGTAACAGATCCTGCTTGATATCTTGATGGATCCAGATCTGAACACAGTGATGTGCACCGGTAACCCCAGAACTGGGGAAGCAAAGTGAGAAGGATCCTTGGGTCTTGCAGATGAGTCGGTCCAGCTGAATGAACCAGTCAGATCCAGGATCCATGACAGACCCTATCTCAAACAATTGAGATGGGGTCTAGAGAGACGGCTTAGTGGTGAAGAACACTTATTGCTCTTCCAGAGGATCAGGGTTTGATTCCCAGCACCTCTCTGGTGGCTAACAACTGTCTATAACTCCAGAAGACCCAACCTTCCGTTCTGGTCTCTGGGAGCACTGCACAAATGGCACACACCCGTGCAACAAAACACCCTTACACATAAAATGTAAAAAAACTTAAACAAGGTGGAAAGCGGTTGAAGCCAGAGTCCCAGCAACTTTCCACTTAATTATTATTAAAAACAACAACAAAGCCTTTCCTTTCCCCAGCAGCACCATCCCTTCTCTGGGAACCTGCCTGATGAGGCTTTTGTTTTTTCCCCCTAATGTATTATACCTGACAGCAGTCCCACACACCCACCCCCAGCCACTCCTCTTGTTTCCCTTCAGAAAAGGGCAGGCCTCCCAGGGATATCAACCAAACATGGCATATCCAGTTGCAATAAGACTAGGCACCTCCCCTCATATTAAGGCTGGACAAGGTGACCCAGTAGGAGTAAAATGGTCCCCAAAGTGGGCAAAAGAGTCAGAGACATCCCAGTTCCCACTGTTAGGAGTCTCACAAGAGGACCAAGCTACACAACCATAACACATATGGAGAGGTCGGTCCCACGCAGGCTCCCTGGTTGTGAGTTCAGTCTCTGTGAGCCTCTATGAGCCCAGGTTGGTTGATTCTGTAGGTTTTCTAGTTTTCTACCCCCTCTGGCTCCTACAATCTTTCCTTCCCTCTTCTGAAGGATTCCCGGAGCTCTGCCTAATGTTGCCTGTGGGTTTCTGCACCTGTTTCCTGCTGAGGCTTTTGTGGCATCTTTTATTAAAATTCTCCATTTTTATCAGTCAGCTCTTGTGAACTCCTTCACAATCGGAATGTTTCAAGCCCGTTAATGTTGTTCCCAGAACATCCAAAGTAGTATTTGGAGGTGAGGTATTACAAAATACTTCAGGGCTGGAGAGATGACTCAGCAGTTAAGAGCATTTGTTGCTCCTCCAGAGGACCCAGATTCTATTTCCAGCACCCACAAGGTGGCTCACAACAGTCTATAACTTCAATCCTAGGTCATCTGAAGCCGTCTTCTTACCGACACTCACAAAGCGCAGACCTAACATGCAGGCAAATACATCCATACACATAAAAATTAAAAAAAATGTGATTTCTACCACTGAGCTACAGTCTGTTTAGTCCTTTACAAACAAGGCCTATGTAAAAGGTAAAAAAAATAAGAACAGTAGAGCTGGGGTTGTTGTTCATTGGTGGATTTGCTTAGAATATGTAAGTTCTGGTTCAAGACCCAGAAAACCTCATCCCCCAAATCCCACAAAAGGCTGAAATTGAGGAAAGCTTACTTACTGGAAACATTTGGTAAGAATCAGGATTTGTGGGCTAGAGAGATGGCTCAGAGGTTAAGAGCACTGGCTGCTCTTCCAAAGGTCCTGAGTTCAATTCCCAGCATCCACATGGTGGCTCACAACTATCTATAATGAGATCTGGTGCCCTCTTCTGGTGTGCAGGCGTACATGCAGGCAGAACACTGTGTACATAATAAATCTTAAAGAAAATATCAGGATTTGTCTTCAGGCCCCCCTTTTATTTCTCTCTCTACCCCGCCCCCTCACACCCACACCACACAACATAACAGTGTGTGTTGATGTGTATTTTGCTCCCTTTGACACAGGTCTTGCTATGGTAGCTCCAGTTTGGCCCCTAAGCCAGAATCATCCTGTCTCTCTTAGCCCTCACCAGGAGTCCAGGAGGGCATCAACCCTGCCCAGATCTTGGCAACATTTTAAATTTCACTCATCAGAGAATACGCAAATCATAGTTTTCTCAAGCTTCTCAACAATTCTCAATAGGAGAGTAGGGTATGAGCAAATCAGACTAAAGAAAAAAAATCTCCAGGAGAGGGGCGAACTACCATGAACGCGCAGCTGCCACGGCGCACGCATGCGCAGTAGGAAGCAGCTGCTCGGGAGGAAGTGGGAGGCCGGAAGGCCCGCCCCTCTCTCGGTTTGGCGGTCCTCTCTGCTCTTCCCCACTCCGCTCCCTTAGAGCCCGGATTCGGCCGCGCGCTCTCGGTCCGGCGTTTTTCGCGGCTCCCCCTTGCGCCTGCGTGATCCTGTCCTGCCCCACGCGCGGGCTCGCGCTCGGGCTCCCGCCCGGCCTCAGGCCCGCGACCCCCGGCCCTTCCCTTCGCGGTCCCGGCCGCCGCGCGTGGCGCCAGCACCATGGTGGGTACCGTGACGTCAAAAGGGAGCGCCGCCGCCCGCCGCGGGCCGTTCGAATGTGCCGGTCCGGGTGGCTCTCCGTGGCTTTGGGCTGGAGTCAGGCCCCGGCTTCTCCCTTAGTGCCCACACCTCACCTTGGGGAGACTCCCTGGAGCAAATGGTTTTTTGGGGGAAACTCCCAACAAATCCAAGAGAAAGCCCACGGGCCCCGCGGGAGACCGGACAGCTAGCTTTGCGTTTCCCTGCTGCAGATCAGGACCCTCGGAGGGTGCGGGTGGGATGCGGTCTGCATTTCACTGGAGAAAATGTACAGATCCCCTGCGGGCGGGCGGTTCTGAGAGTGGGTCCCGGCGCCGAGGGGTACAGGGACGTCACGGTCTGCGGCTCAGTGAGCTGCGGAATATCTGAACAGGTCGTTGTTGGTCGTGGACTTTTGAGAAGTGCTGTAGTCGGTGGGGACACAAACACTAGTATTCCACAGTGCCGGCCCGGGGTTCCTCCTCCTCGGACTTTTCATGTGATAGTTACCCCTCCCTCCCTCTTTTCCAATAGCTCTTCTATTCCTTTTTCAAATCCCTTGTGGGCAAGGATGTGGTCGTGGAACTCAAGAATGACCTGAGGTAGGTACCTATAGCAGCGAGTTGGTGGAAGGTGGGGGTGCCCGGGGCCCTGAACCCTTTTTTCTCCTCAAAGTTATTTGAGAGAGCTGGTGAGCCAAACACAGAAGAAATAAATAGCTTGTGCCTGAAGGGTAAAGATTAGTTTAAGATTGCTGGGCATGGTGGCTCACGCCTTTAATCCTAGCACTCAGGAGGCAGAGGCAGGTGGATCTCTGTGAGTTCAAGGCCACTACAGAGTGAGTTCCAGGATAGACAGGTCTACACAGAGAAACCCTGTCTGGAAAAGAAAAAAGAAAAGAATTTGTTACACAAGTAAATATATATGTGCAGGCAGACTCGCACTATGCCCTTTAAAATATGCTAAATAAATAATAATTCTGGTAAATATGCTTATTGTTCTCTTGGAGAAAATATACGAGATGCTTGTAGCTTTGTAAATAGCCAAAAAATTTAAATAATTTAAATATCTGGCATTAACCCCTCAAAAATGTAAGAGGTTAGTTAAAATTCAATAGGGAGCACTTCCCTAATAAAACCCATTAATATAGGAATGAGCTGTATTGGTAGGGAAAGCAGTTGGATATAGCGTACATGGCATAGTATCCATTTAGTTAAAGGAAATGCAAATAGAACACTAATACGGTCGTTCTGTACTGCATCTACTGCCTCCTTGTACACTTTGCTTCCTAGTCATTCAGGAAAGAATAAAAAAGTAAGTTTAGCTCCTTTGTGTAGACCTAGGGCTCTGGTCCCAAAGCATAAGTGTTTAGAAATAGCTGTTGGAGCTGGAGGGATGACTCTGGTTAGAAAAGCTTGCTGCTGTTCCAGAGAACTAGAGCTCAGTTCCCAAAGCGACTCGACTCCATTAGGTGGTCTTGTGTTTGTTGGGCTGCATACAGCCACCTGTAACTAAGCTTCAGGGGATCTGATGCCCTCTGCTGGCCTCAGTAGGTGCCCACATGCACATACACACAGATAATAAAAATCAGTATTTAAAACCAGCTGATGCTTCTGGGAGTTGGCTGATCTGACTGTCATATTCCTGTTTGTTTGTTCTAAATTTGGGTAACTTATGTGACCTCTCTGAATTCCTGGATGGTATTAATTACTTTTTACAAGATGGCTACAGAGGGCAGTGGTGGTGCACTCCCCTTAATCCCAGCCCTCAGAGGCAGAGCTCTGTGAGTTCAAGGCCAGCCTGGTCTACAGAGGTAGTTTAGGACAGCCTAGGCTACACAAAGAAATACTGTCATGAAAAAATAAACATAAAGAAGGTGACTGCTACAGAGTGAGTCCCAGGAAGGGCGCCAAAGCTACACAGAGAAACCCTGTCTCGAAAAAGCAAAAAAGAAGACTGTAAATGGCTCCTGTCCATAGTTCCAGAACTTCAGAAGCGGGGGCAGGGTGATGGGCCAAAGAGTGGGAACCTGTCTTAAAAAGGAAATACAGCCGGGCGGTGGTGGCGCACGCCTTTAATCCCAGCACTCGGGAGGCAGAGCCAGGCGGATCTCTGTGAGTTCGAGGCCAGCCTGGACTACCAAGTGAGTTCCAGGAAAGGCGCAAAGCTACACAGAGAGACCCTGTCTCGAAAAACCAAAAAAAAAAAAAAAAAAAGGAAATACAAATATTAGGCGGAATACAGGCCTGGCCTGCAACCGTTGAGTAGTAGCTGTTGATAAGTTGGTGGAAGGGGAGACTTGTGTCTGTAATGAGGAACCATTCTGAGAGGCTTTACCTTTCCAGTTCAGAGTTCACAGATGCCGTCCGTGGCTCTCCCTTCTCTGCTTCACGGCCTTGACTTCTCCCCCACATTCTTGTTTTAGCTCTGATGTTCCCTCCATGCTGATTTCAGTGTAAGTTAATTTGGTTCTTCCCTTTTTGCCCTTGACAGCATCTGTGGAACCCTCCACTCTGTGGACCAGGTGAGATGTAGTGAAGGCTCACAGTCTGTACTTGGGGAACAATGGGAGAGTGGAGGTGGATTCCCGCATCTTGTCTCTAGGGTTAATGATGGTGTTCCTCTTTCGTAGTACCTCAATATCAAACTAACCGACATCAGTGTCACAGACCCTGAGAAGTACCCTCACATGGTGAGTTGGGGCCAGCGAGGAGGAGGAGGAAACCTTTAAAGCAAGAGGCCCCTGGGTGGCTGAGAGGCCACATTCTTCATGGAGGTGCGTTCCCCTTTGCAGCTCTCAGTCAAGAACTGCTTCATCAGGGGCTCAGTGGTCCGCTATGTGCAGCTGCCGGCCGACGAGGTGGACACACAGCTGCTGCAGGACGCCGCAAGGAAGGAAGCCCTTCAGCAGAAGCAGTGATGCCCCCGCTTCGGTGACCCATAACTTGATGTCCAGCTGAGGACAGGGACACCCTGCCCAGTGCTTCCGGTGTCTTTTGTTTTGTTAATGTTTTTTTTTCTTTTTAATTGAATGGATGAAAGGGATGATAGTGGGAACAACTATCCTCTTGAGAAGGGAGGGTGAGAAAGCTGGGGACTGTAAACCTTTCCTGGTCCCCACCTTACTCTCCCTTTCCCTGGAGATGGTGGGAGCTTCCTAGGTCTTTCCAGGGCAACACGTGAATGGAAAGAATCTGTCCCGCATCGGGAATAAAATTTATGATCAGACAGTTCTGTTTTTGTGGTCCGTGTTTGGGCAGGGAGGTGGGAAAGGCTGTTTCATCTGCACTCCAGTCCTCTGCATTCCTCCCTGTCCCCATCTCTGGACATCCAACCCAATTTACCAGCATTAATGTGCTCCTGCCCCCAAAGCTTGTAAACCTTGCCAGTATGCCTCATCGGGTAAAAGGCGCCAGCCGCCAACTGTGACTTGAGTTGATCCCTGGACCCACTTGGTGGAGACAACTGATTTTTCTCCACATTCGCTGAAGTGCAAACAATAAACAATAAAAAAATAAAGCGGTGGCGGCCCGGCAGCACTGTGAACTTACTCTCCTCCTAGCCTTTTGCCTTTCATTCCCCTGCCCTTCCTTTCACGTGAAGGAACTCTCAACGCTTTGAGCTTTTTCTCTGCAGTGCTGGGGTTAGATCCCCGGTCTCCCGCGAGCTGGCGCTGGAGCACTGGACTCCTGGTCGTGACACGGCCGGACTCCTTCCACACAGGCAGTCCACACTTCCCGAGAGCAGAAGCACAAACGAGTGGTGCACGGTGCATTGCTAAGCTGTGTTCCCCGCGGCCCCAGTTCCCAGCAGCCACGGACGCACCGGGAGCAGCCGACTCTGCAGGGCGTCCTGCGGGCCCCGCACGCCCGCTCCGAGGACCCCGGGCTGCCCGTGGCGGCGCCTGACCCATCACGGGCTCGTCCCCGCGGCTGCGGACCCCGGCCACGCGCGCGGCCCTTGCCCCTCGAGGCGTCCCGCCGCGGGGGCTGCACGCGGGCCGGGACGGAGGCCCGACCCTCGGGACCGCGCACGCACAGGCGGCGCCCGGCCGCCCCGCGAGGACCCGGGCCCGGAAACGCGCGCTGTCACAAAGGGGGGGGACACGTGGGTGCCGCTCGCCCGGCCGTGCTCTCCCACAGCGGGAGGGAGAGCTGCCTCCGCCCCCTGCCGCCTCCACCCTGGCCGCCCTGTGGGGCCGCGGCCGTGGCCGGCTGGGGAGAATCGCCGGCCCAGTGTGACCGTCACCTTCCGTAGGTACGGCGGCGCGAGCCCGCCCCCGGCAGCCCCGGGCGGGAGATCGGGTCCCGCCTCCTCCTCCGGGCGCCGCTCGCAGCCACTCCGCCCGGCCCGAGGCCTGGCCCGGCGCCTGCGAGCCTCGCAGCACGTGGCTAGGTCCCCTCCTCTACCCGCCCGGTCTCCCCGCAGGACGCCCCGCCGCACTCGGACCCCTGCACAGCCATGTCCATCCTCTACGTCTCCCCTCACCCCGACGCCTTCCCCAGCCTCCGAGCCCTCATCGCCGCCCGCTACGGGGGAAGCGGGCGACGGCCCCGGGTGGGGAGGCCCGCACCCCCGCATCTGCCTGCAGCCTCCCCCGAGCAGCCGGACCCCTGTGCCCCCGCCTCGCCTGCCCGCCCTGGAGCAGGGGCCTGGCGGCCTGTGGGTGTGGGGGGCCCCGGCTGTAGCCCAGCTGCTGTGGCCGGCAGGCCTGGGGGGGCCCGGGGGCAGCAGGGCCGCCGTCCTCGTCCAGCAGTGGGTCAGTTACGCCGACACGGAGCTCATACCGGCCGCCTGCGGGGCGACGCTGCCCGCCCTGGGGCTCCGAAGTCCTGGTCAGGATCCCCAGGTGAGAGGGACGGGGAGGGAGGGAGGACGGAGGGAGGGAGGAGGTCTGAGAACACCAGGATCGGAGAGGGTCCCGAGGAAGGAAGTGGGCTGTCAGATGTGGAACCAGTGTTTGAATCCGTTTGCCTCCTGGTGTAGTAACTTTGGGGTACTTTGAGCGCTTCAGCCTTGGTGTATGTCTGAGGCGGCAAGGTGACGCAATCCCGTCCTCAGGGGTGTGACAGATGAGTGCCTGGCCGCGTGTTGCACTTTTGGTTTTCCAGGGCGTGTGTTTAAACAGAGCCTCGCGCTGGAGCCCTGGCTGTGAATGGCTTGGAACTCGCCGGTGGGCCGGGCTTTTTAAAGTTTCTGAGGGCCTTTGAGTTTCTGTTGCCGTAACAAAACATGACCGGCAGCAACTTGGGGAGGAGAGGATTCCTTTCAGTTTCCGGCTCTCAGGTTACACTCCATCCCAGAGGTGAGGCAGGAACAAGCTGAGGCCATGGAGGGACACCACTTCCTGCTTTCTTATACCATCCAGAACTATTTCCCCAGGGTGCCCCCCCCCCCCCCAATAATCATTAATTAAGAAAATGCCTGCACAGACCTGCCTACAGGCCAGTCTGGTGGAGACATTTTCTCAATGGAGGGTCCCTCTTCCCAAATGACTACTAGGCTGTGTGAGGTTGACGGACACTAGCCAGTATGCTGAGTGAAAGTTTGAAGTCTTGACGGTTGTTATTTTGAGCTGTGGAAAGACTGAGGGAGAAATGAAGTAGGAGGCGGGGAAGGGAGAGGACAGAGACCCACCAGATTGCTCGTGTGGGCCCTTCCAGGGTGGACTTGTGCCCTAACTGAAAGGTCCGCCCCTGCCGGGTAGGAGTGCATGGCGGGTACTCAGTGAATCGCTTAGACCCTGCTTCTTGGTACCTGATGAATTAATGTCGAGCCCTTTTGTGCAGGACAGTGCTGTATTTGTTTACTCTCTTATTGTTGTCTCAGTAGAATGTATGACAATCACCTTGCTGCTTCAAGTAATCCTTTAACTTCAGTGCCTGATATGTTTCATTGGACATGCGCGTGTGCACACAATTGTCTGTATTCAGTTTTTATTTTTTGTATATGAGTTTTGTCTGCATGGATGTATGTACACATGCATGCCTAGTGCCCAAAGAGGCTAGGGGTGTAACCAGGTCACTTATGAGCTGCCGCATGGGTCAGAGGAACCAAACTTGGGGCCCCTGTAAGAGCAGCCGATGTTCTTAACTGCTGATGCGTATCATCCGTCTCTCCAGTCCCATGATATATGTATTTTGGGGGTGGAGATGAAACCTAGGGCCTCCTACATGCTCAACATTCTCCCTCTGACCTGCACTCCCAATCAGACATAGTTCTGTTGTTTCTTTGAGACAGGGTCTTAACTTTGTAGCTTTAATTGGCGTGGAACTAGTTGTATAGACTAGGCTGGTTTTAAACTCAGAACTAGGATTAAAGGCGAGCAGCACCACCCCTAACAGTTGTGTTTTTATGACTGTTTGGATGTGGAGGGATTAGCCTGAGAGCTGGTGATTGTGGGGCAGGAGACCAAATGGTGATGGATAGAGCAGTGGCTCTCAACCCTGGGGGTCCAACAACCCTTTCACGGGGGCCGCCTGAGACCATAGGAAAACACAGATATTGACATTACAGTTCATAACAGTAGCAAAATCACAGTTATGGAGTAGCTACAGAAATAGTTTTCTGGCTGGGGTCACGACAACATGAAGAACTGTATTAAAGGGTTGCAGCGTTAGTAAGGTTGAGAACCACTGGTATAGAAGCATGTAAACCTGGTCATGTCTGTTTCCTGTCCTGTTAGGCTGCCCTTGGGGCCCTGGGCAAGGCCCTGAGCCCCTTGGAAGACTGGCTTCGGCTGCACACCTACCTGGCTGGGGATGCTCCTACTCTGGCAGACTTAGCTGCTGTGACAGCCTTATTGCTGCCCTTCCGATATGTGAGTCGCTGTGGCTTGCTTGGGGGTGGGGTGGGCACAGGTGTCTGTCCATCAGACTTCATTGCAGGGTGACTAAGATAATTGTTTTGTGTTGTTTTCCTCTTAGGTCCTGGACCCTGCTGTCCGCCGGATCTGGGGTAATGTGACTCGCTGGTTTAACACTTGTGTCCAGCAACCAGAATTCCGGGCTGTGCTAGGAGAAGTGGTCCTGTACTCGGGGGCCAGGTCTGTCACTCAACAGCCAGGTGAGGAAGATGGAGATGGCAGAGGGACAGTGGCCCCTCTGGGGCCTTCCTGTAACATGCTTTTTCTTTTATCTTAGAAATGCCTGGGCCACTAGGGTGGGGAGCCTGTGGGAGGGGAGGATGGGGGATAATCAGGCTTGGGCTCTAGGGCGATAGAGATAGCCCTTTCTAGATTCAGCGCTGTTCACAGAGGGTCCCCAGCAGCCTTGATTCTGAATTTCCAGGCCTCTCTCCAGGCCTTGAGGTCACTGCACCCCCGAAAACAGCTGCTCAGCTCAAGAAGGAAGCAAAGAAGCGGGAAAAGCTAGAGAAATTCCAGCAGAAGCAGAAGATCCAGCAGCAGCAGCCCCCACCGGGGGAGGTAGGAGGCAAAGGACGGGGCTGGGAAGGAGGGGGAGCCTTGCTGAGCCACTGATGTCTGGGTCTGCGTCTTCTTCCTTCTGAGCAGAAGAAACCAAAACCAGAGAAGAAGGAGAAGCGGGACCCTGGGGTCATTACCTATGACCTCCCTACCCGGCCCGGGGAAAAGAAAGGTACTGGCTGGGGAGGGGACCACACCTCTGCTCTCCGTGTCCGTCGCTTTGTCCTGGCCTCAGCCCTCTTAGTGAGGCTGGCAGAGCAGCCTCATGCCTGTGCTCTGGCCTGTCCCTTCTGCTCTAACTGAAGCCTCTCCAGCTTCGCCCAGCCCTCTTCTCCTTTCCCTCAGATGTCAGTGGCGCCATGCCCGACTCCTACAGCCCTCAGTATGTGGAGGCGGCCTGGTACCCGTGGTGGGAGCGGCAGGGCTTCTTCAAGCCAGAGTACGGGGTGAGTGAGTACTGCCGCCAGGCCCAGCGGGGCTGGAGGTGGAGAAGGGCAGGACGTCAGGACCACTGCCTGAGGAGGCCACATGAGGATGCCATGTGCTTTAGCATGTGCCCTCCTTCTCTGCCACCAGCGTCCTAGCGTGTCAGCACCAAATCCCAGAGGTGTCTTCATGATGTGCATCCCACCCCCCAACGTGACAGGCTCCCTGCACCTGGGCCACGCGCTCACCAACGCCATCCAGGACTCCCTGACTCGATGGTGAGCTCCTGTCTGCACCTGTCTGGTGCCTTCTGCCCTGCTTGGTTCCTTTCTCTCCACTGACGAGGCTGACTCGGCCATGTTGGCATCGTTTGGCCGC